GTCACGGTGTAGGTTCTGAGGGGTAGCTGGGCTGTCAGGGGAAGTCCTGAGGCCATTTTAGACTCGCCTGAGCATTCCAGAAGAGAAACTGGGCTGCAGCTTTGCTATGTAGAAACCCCCCACTCCAAAAAGCTTCCAGGGAACGAGGAGGGGAGATCTCCCTGTAGAGCCGGGATCTCCTCGACTCAGTGCCATTGGCACAGATGGGCCTACTCTGTGCCAGGCCAGAGACAGGAAGAGAAGAGTCCCTGCCCTCAGATGCTTACATTCTACCCGACTTTCATTGGCGCCTGACTCTTTTGAGAAGTCTGTGTCTGGGCTGGGGGGTAGTGGGGGCAGGGGGGGGGGGAATGATCCTCTTTTCGACTCCAGCCAGGCGTCACAGCATCACAGACTTAGAGTGGACGGGACCACCCAGTACAAGCCCTTCCTTTTACAGCTGAGGAAACTGAGGCCCAGAAAGGCAAAAGGGCAGGATTCCCACCCAGGTCCTCTCTCTCTATTGCACCATGCAGCCAGTGCATGCATGCTCCTCAGCTTTGAACACTTCAAAGGACTCTATAAAGGCAGGGACTGGTGAGGCTCTCAGCCATTAACATGAGCTCCCTGAGAAAGGTCGGCTTCATTTTACCTTTGAACTCTCAGACCCGGAACATTTAAAAAATACAGATTATTAGACTTAGGATTTCATTTCTGGGAGGACTCTTCCTCCACCAGTGCAGATTGGCCCCTCCCCAGTCACTCCCACTCTTAAAGGGTCACTAGGGATCCTGAGGGATTAAATTACTAACAGATGACTCAGACCCAAGTCCCAGATTCGGAGGACCATTCTCTACCCAGTCAAGTGGACACTCAAAGCTTATTTAATTCATTTCAGCACCTCATGCATAGGAGCGGCTAATCTCGGATCAGTCCCCCTGCCCAAGAAGGCCCACCCATCTGACCCACGGGACCCCGGAGGTCAAGGTCGGTGCTGCCCCAGAAGATGGGACTTTGTCATTGTATGTCACATTTCACCTTGCCAAGGGCATCCAGAGACACTGCAGGCTTTCTGGGCCCCTGCCCCACACCTGGAGGACCCAACAGCTGGAGGAGGTTCTATAAATGCAGAATCCTCACCTAGTTGAGTGGTTAGCGACAAGTCAGGCCTCTCTGAGCATCTATGAAGCACCTACTATGTACTAGGCCCTGGGGATAGATAGGATGGGGGCTGAGCATCTATGAAGCACCTACTATGTACCAGGCCCTGGGGAGAGATAGGATGGGACTGAGCATCTATGAAGCACCTACTATGTACTAGGCCCTGGGGATAGATAGGATGGGGGCTGAGCATCTATGAAGCACCTACTATGTACTAGGCACTAGGGAGAGATAGGATGGGACTGAGCATCTATGAAGCACCTACTATGTACCAGGCCCTGGGGAGAGATAGGATGGGGACCCTGCAGATTCTATATTTGGCTCCAGCACTGACAGATTCCACACCTTGCTGGAGTTACACAGATAGTAAAGTGGCTGAAGTAAGCCTTGAACTCAGATTTTCCTCGGTTGGAATCTGAGCTCAAAACAGAAACCTGTACACCTACTATGGCTTGGTGCCTTAGCTGGACCCTGGGGCCAGAACCCTCCCACCTTCTTGGGCCCCTTCCCTCAAGGACATCGTCTGTGCCCCAGAGGGCAGAGGGATACGGTGCTTGCCTTAGACCATCATTCTCCCCAGGGAGATTCCACCACTTCAGTGAAGGGAATGGCCCCTATTCTCAATGGCCCCTTCAGCTGTTGTACAATCCATCCTTCATCTTTTTTTTTTTTTGGGTGAGACGCTTGGGGTTAAGTGACTTGCCCAGAGTCACACAGCTAGTGAATGTTGTGTGTTTGAGGCCGGATTTGAACTCAGATCTTCCTGACTCCAGGGCCGGTGCTCTATCCACTGCACTACCTAGCTGCCCCCATCCTTCATCCTTGCAGCCAGGCTTTCCAGCCTCACCTCTGGGCAGTGTAACTACCTAGGAGTCCCGCCTTCCTCACCTCCACCTTTGGGCTCCTTCCCTTCGAACCTCAGCCCAGCTGCCACCTCCTCCAGAAGCCTTCCCTGACTCCTTCAACCCAAGTCCAGCTCAAAGGGATCTCTCATTTGGGTCTATCATGCCTTACTCTTTGTCCTCCATCTGTGGGAGAGGTAGACTTGGCCTCAGATACTTCCTAGATGTGTGACCCTGGGCAAGTCATTTCACCCTGTCTGCCTCACTTTCCTCATCTGTAAAATGGGGATAATAGCAGCACCTACCTCTCAAGGTGGTTGTCGTGAGGATCAAATGAGGTCATATACATAAAGTACATTTGTTGCTGCTTAGCCATGTCTGTCGGGTCTGACTCTCTGTGCCCCCATCTGGGCTTTTTCTTGGCAAAGATACTGGAGTGGTTGGCCAGTTCCTTCTCCAGCTCATTTTACAGATGAGGAAACTGAGGCTAACAGGGTAAGGTGACTTGCCCAAGGTCACACAGCTAGGAAGTATCTGAGGCTGGATTTGAACTCATGAAGACGGGTCTTCCTGAGTCCAGGCCTGGTGCTCTATCCACTGCCCCACCTTCAAAGTACATTACATATCTTAAAACACTACATAAATGCTCGCTATTTATTATTGTCAGACTTGCTTCTGCGCCCCCTACCCTCTTTAAGGGCAGGCAGTGTCTCACTTTCGTACCTGTATCCCCAGCACAGTAGGGGCCAGAGCTAAATAAATCTAGAAGGGGAGAGAGTACTAGGAAGAAGAGACAAGGGCAGCAGAAATCAGGGAAGGCTTCCTGAAGAAGGCTGATGAGTCCTGAGGGAAGATAAGGATTCTGAGAGACTGAGATATGGTTTGTACAAACACCCACAGGCCAGAGATGGGGAGGTTGTGGAGCTCAGGGCAAGAGCTAGCCCAGCCCAGTGGGAATGCACAGTGTTGGAAGACCAGGCTGAAGCTGATGGGGGGGGGGGGCTTTGCAGTTTAACCTAAGAGTGACAGGGAACTAAGGAAGTTTTTTGAGCAGGGCAGTAACAGTCTTCTGAGGTACTAGCCTGATTAATTTCAGCAACTCTTCCAAGGATGGATTATCAAAGGGGAGAAAGGAGGGACCAACAGACAGGACAGAACAAGGGTGCTGGCAATGTGGGGGAGAGCGTCTGTGTGGGTAGACTGAGGAAGACAATGAGAGGCAAGGGGCAGGGACGACTGTGATCCATCCCTTGAGGATCGGGGTTAGATTAGCATAGGGGTGAATCATTACCCACTTGGAGACAATCCTCTCTTTAGATGAGGGTGGAGAAGTTTGTCCAGCAACAGCATGCCCACGGAGAGTTAAGCCAGCTCAGAGCTATTCCCCTCATTTGCATAAGATTGCAATTCAACCAAACAACAGCCAAGGAGCAGATCTTTACTGATACTAATCTCCAACCTCCCGGTTTCAGGGGAAACTTCATTTAAAGGCCTCTGAGTGAGACTGGGGGTCAGGCTGAGGAAGGCGGCCTGTGTCCTTGGCTTTTACTGCCTGTCTTGGGCCGAGTCCACCAGGCACAGGCCACTTCTCCCGAGTCTGTGTCAGGGCACTGAGGGGTGGGAGTAAACCTGATTGGGAAAAGCTCACGGACAAAAGGAAACCTGTTTGTCCCACGGAGATGAGATAGTTGGTGCCTTTCTTTTCCTTGCACTAATGAGGGCTGGGCACCACCCTGAGCTATTATTAGGACTCTTCTGGAATTATTGTTAGCACACCAGGACAAAACAGCCAACCCCCTTGGAGGGGCCCACTCCTACTGGACCAAGTCCTGGCCTAGGGCGCTTACCCTCACTGCAATACCGGTTGGTCCAGGCTGGTGTGACTTGCTTATGACTGGTGGAAGGTTTTTATGGGGAGGGGAAAAATACCCCAAGATTTCCTGTTTCCCACAGCTCAGAGCTCTAGAAGAGGATCCAGGGGCAAGGACCTTTGAAACCATCTCATTCAACCCCCACGTTTTATACAGCTGCAAAATGAGGCTCAGAAAAAGTCAAGGGACTTGGCCAGGGTCACACAGGTGGTAAGTGTCAGAGGCAGGATTCAAACCTCGGTCACGGGGCCATAGCTCTAGTCTGAAGCCAAGGAGGACACTTTTTCTCATTGGTCTCTCGGAGGAAATCTGCTTCTGTTCCACCAAGATTAGGAAGGCAGTAAAGGAGAGTCTGGAGGCCTGGCTTCCGGTCCTGGCTTGAACTAGGCTTATGACTTCGGACAAGTCCCAAACTCCCTGTGCCTCAGCTTCCCCATCTGTAAACTGCCTACCACCCATTGTGTTTGTCTGGCAGACTAAAGCACACACTAGAAGGCTCTTTAGAAAGATCCAAATTAGGAAGCTAGGAGGAGGGGGAATTGTCACCTAGCCCCCTCCCCAGCACCAAAGAGCTCTCTTCCCCACACCGGGGTCAAGGAATCCCAAAATCCTAGAACAGCAGAAGTGGGAGGGGGGAAGGGGACACTCCCCGGCTCAATCTTCCTTAGAACGTCAAACTTAAGGGTCCTTCGATTTCCCCCCAAAGCCTCAGGGGAGGCTGGATCCCAGGGTGCCTGGGGCAGCGAGCAGAGAAGCATCCTCTGGACCTCGGCCTGTCCCGAGTCTGAGCGATTGATTCCTCCCCATTCCTTCTCTGTTGGAGCCTAGATAATCCCCTAGAATCGCTTCTAATTTCCCGTCTCCATCCCCGCCCCAGCTGGGAGTGAGGCAGAGCTAAGCTTCCAAGTCTCGTCGACACTGTCCTGGGCTAGCTGCAGAGTGAGTGAGAAAGTGGAAAGAGACCCCAGAGTCGGAGGCCTCTCCGTTGGAATCCTGGCTCTGCTGCCTGTGTGACCTTTGGCCGGTCCCTTCACCTCTTCTCAGTTTCCCTCTCCCTCAAAAAAGATGTTGACTTAGATGCACTCTAAGGTTCCGGCCCAGCTCTGAATCCCAGGAATGCAGGGGTGCGTGCCACTATGTTAGTTACCTCCTCTACGCCGCATCCGCTGGTCTCGACGCCTCCTGAGGCTGGGGCAGCCGTCGGGGGACTTCTCTTCCTCAGCCTCCCGGTCCTTGTCTTCACCTTGGGCCGGCCCGCTGCCACCACCGCTGCTATTGCCTCCAGGGTCTCCAAGGCCCGCGTCCCCGCTCGCCTCGGTCGGGGCGGCGTTCCCCAGCAGCCTCGGGGGCCCGCCGGCGCCCCCAGCCGAAGCCACGCAGTGCACCAGCCAGGCATCCACGTGCGTGCGCGGGATGAAGGGGACCCCCAGCGTGCGCACCTCCTGAAGCAGCCGCTGCCCCTCGGAAGACAAGGCTGAGTCCGTGTCCGGGCGCTTGGGGTGCCCCTGGCCCCAGCCCCCGACGGCTCCTTCTTGGAAGGAAGGCAGCGCGTAGGCGGCGCCGCCAGGGCTCCCCAGCAGCGTCCAGGGGTCCCGAAGCAGGGGCGGCGGCGGGGGGAGCAGCAGGTAAAGGTCCAGGTCCATGCGGAGCCCAGCTAGGCTCAGCAGGACGGCCAGGTGCAGGAGGCCGCCGCAGCCCTGCGCCCAGGACGGCTTCAGGTACATCATCCTCGCTCCCTGACGGCTCCCGGGGCCAAGCCGCGCCCCGCCGCCGCCTCCTGGCCTCCCGGTGCTCAGGAAGCGAAGAGAAAGAGAAAGCCCACGTCAGAGGCTGGCGTCCCCCGGCGTGGCCCTGAGAACGCCCGCAGCCGGCCACTCGGGGAGGCGAGCACCGGGAACGGCCGGGGAACCGCGCGACTAGAGGAGTGCAAGGAGGAAGAGGAGAAGGAGGAGGAGGAGGAGGATGGAGGATGGAGGATGGGGGATGGAGGAGGAGGGGCAGGAGCAAGAGCCGGAGCCGGAGGAGCTTCCAGCCCCTGCCCGCCAGCCCTCCCCGCCCCGTCCAGCCTCCCTCCACGCCCTCTACCCGGGAGCCTAGGAGAGGCCCCGCCCAGTCCAGCCTCTTCTCTTCCTGGTGCCAGCGAAAGGTCCCTCCCCGTCCAGCCTCCCTCCACTCCCTCCACCCCCGAAGCCGCGGGAGGCCCCGCCTCAGCCAGTCTTCCCCCTACTCCCGAGCCTGCGGGACGCTCTGCCCCGTCCGAACTCCATCCTCCATACTCGGAGCCAGAGGGTTGCCCCGCCCCGTCTGACCACAGCTGGAGAGCCCCTCGTCCAGGCTCTGAGGGCCCTGCTCCCCACCCCTGAGCCCCAGCTGGAGGGCACACTTGGGGCCCCGGTTCCCTTACCTGGCGGGGAGTGGGGGGTGCTGTCTAGATTGCGGGGAGAAGGTTTTGTGTTGGTTTGGGTTTTCCCGGCGCCAAATGTGGTTGGTCTAAGACAGGCTGAACTGAACTTGGGCTGGGGTGTCCGGAAGCGGGGGACAGCGATCTTGGGGAGGTGGGGATACGGTAGAAGCCGAAAGAAGATCGGCCAGCCGTCTAGGAATTCCTGTTTACCTGTGTTTACATTTGATGCAACAGTGGAAGCTGCGTGGTGGCTGGGGGAGTGCTGGACTTGAAGCCAGGAAGAGGAGAGAGGCCAGGAAGAGGAGAGAGGCCCGGAATCCTGGCCCGGACACCTGTGGGTTCTTGGGCAAATCACACCTCTGAGCCTCAGTTTCCTCATCTGTAAAATGGAAACAATAATACCCATAATTCCCCACTCGCAGGAATCTTGTGAGTTGGAAAACCTTAGGGCATCCTATAAAGGTCAGCTATAATTTGAATGAGGGGTTCCTCCAAAGATCTTGCTGTTCCCAGGACAGATGGAATGAAATGGGTGTGTGTGTATGAAGGAAACTAGCAATTGGCCCAGATGGCAGTCTTGCAGAATTGGGCCGTCATTTAGAACAGCCAGAGCTGACCAGACACAGATCAATAATGGGGGAAGTTGGCTCCTGTGGGTGGCCTTATTTCACATCAGGCCCTTGCCGAATCCTCTGTGGTCACGAAATTGGCCTATCTGTTCTCTGAAGTTGGAGCTCACCTCCCACTTCTGGGCAGGTGAACAGCCTCCCCTCCTTGCCTGAAAGGAACTTTGTCCTTCTCCCTGCCTTTTTGAAACTTCTTCCTTCAAGGCTGCTTAGGGGATGCCTCTTCCAGAAAGCCCTCCCTGATCCTCAGTGGCTGCCATTCCACTCCCCACTCTACCTAACAGTAGCCCACAGAGACAGAAATACTATAAGACTGGACGTTATGACTAGCCTGTGGTTTAGAGGCAGCATCGATGCAGAGAGCTTGGCTTGAAGTCACCAGGATCTCAGTTCAAATCCTGCCTGAGCAAGGCTAAATTCTCTGTCCCGTCAGGGAGGTCAGCTACACAATACATAAAGATCCCTGCAGGTCACAAATTGACTTAGGCTTAATTTAATTTAAATTTAATATTATCTATGATTTATTGTATTTTTATTTATTTTGTTAAATGTATCCCAGTTTCATTTTAATCTGATTCAGGCTGACCCAGATTGCAACTCTGCCCTCTCTTAAGACTTCAAACTTCAGAGAAGGTGCAAATGACCCGTATTGGTGGAGGGGCTTTCTTCACCTAGGAGTTTCCTACACCAGTGGAGTCTTGGGTCCAATCTCTAGCCCTACTATGTGCCAGGGCTGATAAAGGCCAGTTACTTTTATCATGAATATGCTGTTATGACAGACTAATTAATGACCAGTTTGTCTACCTAAAGGAGCCAGTGAAGGAGAATGTTTGTTACCTGGAAGTGGTTGTCTGTCTTAACCCTTTGGATATCAAGTCCTGACTTGCAGGTCTGTAACCTGTTCCAAGGTTGCCCCTGGAGAGCTGCCCAGAGCTCGGGGACAATGGCCCACCCCCAGCTTTCTCCCCCAAGGGGCCAACACCTTGGGCAAAGCTTTTAAAAAACTGCTGTCTTCTGTTCTGTGCAGAGCTAGCCACTGGAAATGTTTATGCCCAGCAAAGAAAGCAGCCAAGAGGAGAGAGAGCTGTCTTTGGAGTCAGTAAGACCAGGGTTCAAATCCTGCTTCAGACTGACTCTGGAAAGTCACTTACCTCTCTGTTTACCTCAACTTCCTCATCTGTAAAGTAGAGATAACAACAGGACCTAGCTCACAGGGTTGTTGTGAGGGTCAAATGAAATAATATATGTGTGTCATAACCTTAAGGCACCATGGAAATGTTAGCTATTATCATTATTATCATATATATATATATAATATATATATATATATATATATATGTATATGTTCAATTGTGTCTGACTCTTTGCGACCCTGTTTGGGGTTTTCCTGGCAAAGATACTGGAGTGCTTTGCCATTTCCTTCTCCAGATCATTTTACAGATGAGGAAACTGAGGCAAACAGGGTGACGTGACTTGCCCAGTGTCACACAGCTAGGAAGTGTCTGAGGCCAGATCTGAACTTAGGAAGATGAGTCTTCCTGACTCTAGGCCTGGCGCTCCATACACTGTGTTACTTAGCTACCCCCAAATATACATACACATACATGTATACATATATGTACACATGGTTGTATTTATAGATACACACATACACATATTTTATATGTGTATGTGTATATGTATATGTACATATATAAAATCTCCCCTGAGTCAGGTATATCCCTCCACTCCCTTTTCAGCTTCCTTTTGTGTGCTCATTAGATTGTAAGTTCCCTGAGGACAGGGACTGTTTTTAGGTTTTTTGTATCCCCAGGCTTAGCACAGTGTCTGGCATATAGCAGGTGCTTAATAAATGTTTATTGACTATTATAATGGAAGTCAGGAAGACCCCGGGTCAGTTCTTGCTTCTGACACACACCAGGATGTAAGCTTGTAGACAGAGATTGTCCCATCTCAGCACCCAGCCCAGTCCCTGGCACAAAAAAGGCACTTAATAAATATTTGTTGCTTGCTTGATTGGAAAACCATGAACAACTCACTTGACCACTTGGTGTTCCAGCAGCTTTTAATCAGTGTGGGTTACAGAGGAGTGCAAGTCCACACTGGTCAAAGGGGTCCTGATCCCTCTATCCCCTATCCCCTTACTCTCTTTTTCCAAAGGAGCAGGACAAACCTGCCAATTAAGCCACTGAGGCATTCGAGTCTACAGGTCATATTTCCCAGCCCAATGAAAAGACCAAAGAACACTTTTAAAGGTCCAAGAGATGCTTACCTCTCCTGTCAACTGGAAAACAAGTCTATTTAGTCTTCACATCCCTCCTCTCTGTTCCCTTCTCTGCCCTCACAGCTCCCACCCTAGTGTGGGATCTGACCCCCTCAGGCCTGGGCTATTGCAGCACCTGCTGGTTGGTCCCCCTGCCTCAAGCCTGTCTGCTCTGCACCCAGCTGCCAAAGGCATCTTCCTAAAGCCGGGCCTGAAGGTGTCCCTTCCTACTCAGGTAAACCCTTGGCCAGAGCCCTCCGCCTCTGAGATGGAACAAAGCTCTGGTGATTCCAGCCCTTCCCTACCTGGCCCTTTCCTTCATTCCCAGGCTTACCCTACTCTTTGCACTCAGTCATCTCCAGCTCGGGTCTTCCTGACCCTAGGTCCAGCACTATAGATAGATGCCACACTGCCCAACTGTCCCTATTGTCCTATGTTTACAGTTCCTTTTATTTTGAACTTGAATTTTATTTTCAGTCCATAGAGACCTAGATGTGCCCTAGCCCTGCAGATATCTGAAGTTGGCTGTCACGTCTCCCTGGAGTTTTCTGGTCGCCATGATGAACATCCCTAGTTCCTTCCACCCATACACAGAGGTTTACAGGCTGGAGGCCCTTCCCCATGCTGGCTGCACTCCTTGGGATGGGGGTGCCCAGAACTGGACCCAGTCTGCCCCGTGGGGTCTGAGAAGGTCTGTGGCCACCCTTGCTGTCCTCCTTCCTACACAAGTGGTGGGGGGAAGGGAGGGGCCCTGCATGAGTCTGGGCCAAACCTACATTTGTATGAGGAAATAATTTAAGAGGAATTTCCCATCTATGCAAATGACATTCTAAAGACCTGCTCAGATCCCCATGGGGCCTGGCCGTTTGCCAAGTAGTAGCTTTCAAAAACAGCTTTTTAACTGTTGGTCCTAACATAGCGAAGTCTCTGGTTTTGCTGGTTCAAGCCTGATAATTGATTGCTTGATCTGGAGCCAGAAGGAGGTCATCAACCTCATTCTTTTACAGATAGGGAAACTGAGGGCCGGATGACTTCCCCAGGTTTTCAGTTTAGGATGGCAGTGTTCAGGGGCTGGTTTTGGACACAAAGGGCCTGGTTTAAAAGAGACGACTCAGGACCTGAGGCAAAGCCCCGAAACCCTCGGGGCTTCTGTTTCCTCATCTGGAAGAGAGAGGTCAGAGCCGAGGGCCCGTGGGGGCCAGCCCAATGGGAATGATGTTCGGTGAAACTTGTCTTTTTCTGCCTTGGCTGCATTTCTGTCTGAAAAGCCTTTGGGCTGGAGGATTCCCAGCTGAACTACAGAGGGATTTCAGAATCCAGGGACCTGGGGTCCAAATGGGGCTCCCAGACTTAGTACCGGCATGACCTTGGGGAGGGCCCCAGTCTCCTCATCTGTAAAATGACCTCTGAGCTTCCTCCCAGCTCTCAGTGTGTGCACTTTTCCTCGGTTGGTCATTGGCCCCAGCACCAGTGAACCAGGAGCCTGCCGAGCCTCCTGGCTGGCCCGATGCCTCCCATGTTTCCCCGGGCTCTTTCTGTTGCGTTACCTGCTCCCACACCAGCTGGGTCGCCAGCTAGAGGGAGGAACAGGAAGGACAGGGACATTTTCCTACCCAAGTGTCAACATTTGTTAAAACAGAGCTTGCAAGCACCCTCTCGGGAGGGCCATCTGTCCCTGTGCCTGGGAAGCTGGGGGCTTGCATGCAGGC